TCACAAGGCTCCGGGGGGTGAATAAAGGCCTCCTGTAGCAAATTCATGCGTTTCATGCGTAACCAGAAGAAATACAATCCAAACGAAACCACCGAGTCGAATCCAAGGATTAAATCCAAAGGCGTCTTGACGCAACGATGTCCTCATGTGCAGAAACAAGAAGCCTTTACCCAAACAAACGGCGTCGTTCTTGTCCGTCGAAACACATGCATTGACGTTTAATCCAAGCGATCTCCTTTTATCCAATGAAGCACAGTTTTTGACTTTTGTGTAACGGCTTTCCAGTAAGCCACTGCCGTTGATAATATGAGTGAGCAAGTTCAAGTTCATACAAACAGAGTCCGTGCAAGCGGAAATAGATGCAAACAAATGTCTTTCTTTATTTGTGCTCCAATAACAATTGTCCCAAAACAACTTGCTATGAGTGTTCCTTGTTCATTAACATGTACAATACAAGTCCATACCTTGAAGACACAGCATAAGATCATAGTCCATGTTGCACGCTACTCTGCCATGCGGTCAAAAACTGTGTGCTTCCCAGTTACCAACGCACACACACCTGGCTCTTACACCGTTACAATTTACAGGTTTACTAGTTACTTTAGTCTGTAAATTTACCGTTACAGGTGTTACAATTATACTGTGTCACAGTGCCATCCAGTGGCCAAGTAAAACCTTACAATAAATGGCTTCAACACCTAGGATGCTTTGAGGGTGAGTAAAACACAGGCTAATTTTCATTTTTGGGTGAACTAACCCTTTAAGCTGGTGTGTGGTGGGCGTTCTGGCGCAATATGGCTGCTGTCACATCATCCAGGTGGAACCTCAAAATAAAGCACTTTCCCTCTGTACATGGCTGTTGGGACAAGCAGTTTTGTGGTACTTGGAATTCTATATAATTAATTTTAAAAAATAATGCCACATTGATAGCTCAGGAAGGTGTAATTGTTCAAATAACATATTGTTTAATTTTAAAATATAAAAATAACCCTAATGTGTATTTCAATTGTAATATTTCTGTAAAGTCTAGGGACAGAAAAGTGGACGTTTCTGTAGAATGACCCATTTGTCTTCCGTGCCTTATAAGGATTCACGCTTCGGGCACACCCCCGCCGATGTCATCGTTCATCGCGATGTTTCACTGTAGACATCGTCCGATGCCAATTTTGTAGACATCGCCCAACCCTAATTGGAGATATAGTGACGACTGATATTTATATCATTTTATGCAAGTATCTGCTATATTGTTGCTATATTTATATTACAAGCATCAGAATTCATTCATCATATAAATATCAGCATTTGCGCCAAATTGCATATTTTTGCTGTGTTTGAGTCTCTGAAAAAAGTTTTTTTCCTCCAGGTTCTCACCATATCATAATATATTAGCCATACAATCCTGATGGATCAAATATGTACAAAAAAATAAAAAAACACATGCAATTTTATTCTAGTGTTGTTGTTTTGTTTTTTTTTGTCCAAAAAATCAGATTTTCCTTACTATTAATTAATATTGCCAGGGTGTACATGGTGAATATGAATGTATGTTGATGTTTTCCTGTATAAAGCAAGCGTTTATCCCATCTCTTCTGTCAGGTGTCTAATTGGGTCTCGTTTCCAGTAAATGGCGACAATGTGTGGGGTTATAATCAATGGAAACTCATGGCGTATCGTAAACCAAACCCGGATGCCACACCCTGCAAACACTCCGAGCTCGTGTCTGTGGACCAGATCCCTCAGTCCCGTCTGGTTCAGGCGTATTTCATAAAAGATCCTCAGACTTACGGCCTGAACATCAGCTTCGGCATCGCTGGAGACCCAGTTTTTTACAATGCCACCAAATACATCAGCTGGTGAGTCAAACACTGGGAGTTTATTTGACATTTTTCATCAGGAGCATTAGAGACTGAACTGAGAAAATGGAGTTTTCATTTTTGGGTGAACTATCCCTTTAAAGAGCTATTTCTACCTTAATTAACCCATAACATGTTTTTACTGGTATAGAAACATTGAATAACTTGAATAAAACTAGTTATTTTAGATGCTACAGTTTCTTTTTCTTTCAAAAGTCATTTTTCCCCATACTTGCCAATCTGTTATTTTTAAATTATTTTTGAATATTTTAATAAAAAATATTAAAAATGCTATATTTATATGAAATTAATACTACATTTTATTTAATTGATTGTAATTTTTTATTGGGTCTGAGTGTCCTGTAGTTTCACATTAATTACAATTGAGAACAACACTAAAGCCCATATTTTCACCTACTTTGTATTTTCATTTTGGTAAAGATGTGCAGTTTGAAGTACATCTGCTCATATTTCAATAGCTTAAAATACAGAATACTGATGTTTCATACGAATCATCCACCTATTTGTGGATTTGTGTGTGTCTTGACGCTTGAAATATTTCTAAATCCACAAATTTACATTTACATTTATTCATTTGGCAGACACTGTTATCCAAAGCGCCTTACAATTGAGGAATACAACAAGCGATTCATCATAGGATGGCAATAAACACGAGAAGTGCCCATTATACAAGGTTTCAGTCATCGTTCAAAATAGTAAAAGGTTGGACAGGAAGGGATTAAGGGATAATGAGAGCATAGAAAAAGTGAAAGCAAAGATAATTTTTATTTTATTTATTTATTTATTTTTAATAGGAGGATGTAATCAGATGCTCACGGAAGAAATGAGTTTTCAGTTGTTTCTTGAAAATTGTGAGGGATTCGGCTGTATGAATGGAGTTAGATAGATCATTCCACCAGCAGGGAACGGTGAAAGAAAACGTCCTTGAGAGTTTTCTGGAGGGGGTGTAGACTCGTAAGAGTGAGTGGAAGTAGGAGCACCAATGTCTTGAACTTGATGCGAGCTGCGACTGGAAGCCAGTGCAGAGAGATGAGAAGCGGTGTAACATGGGCTCTCTTGGGCTCATTGAAAACAAGATGTGCTGCTGCATTCTTAATCATTCGCTGAGGTCTGATTGCACATGATGGAAGTCCAGCGAGAAGAGCATTGCAATAGTCCAGCTTAGAAATGACAAGGGCCTGGACAAGAAGCTGTGTCGCTTGTTCTTTTAGGAAGGGCCTGATCTTCCTGATGTTGTGTAGTGCAAACCTGCATGATCGTGCTGTTTTTGCAATATGATCTTTAAAGGTTAGCCGATCATCAAGGATCAACAATCCTGGCCGAACTCGATGGGATTATCGTTGATGAACCTAGCTGGATGGTAAACTGGTGGTGTACTGATGGGGAGGCTGGGAAGATGAGAAGCTCTGTCTTTGCCAGGTTGAGCTGCAAAGTGATGTTCTTTCATCCATGCTGAGATGTCTGTCAGGCAGTCTAAGATCCATGCAGGTACCGTTGGATCATCTGGTTGAAATGAGAGGTAGAGCTGTGTTTCATCAGCATAACAATGGTAGCATTGTTATGTATATGTAGTGTATATAGAGAAGAGGAGCGGTCCAAGGATTGATCCCTGAGGAACCCCAGTGATGTAGTGTATATAGAGAAGAGGAGCAGTCCGAGGACTGATCCCTGAGGAACCCCAGTGATGTAGTGTATATAGAGAAGAGGA